GCCTGCAGCGGCCCCGCATCACGTGGACCATATGGAAGGCCTCAAAGTCGGGATTCCCACCCCTCCGCCCGCACCGGCATCCGCCGAGGGCATCGTGGGAGGAGGGATGTCCGCCGCCCTCTCCAACCTTACGCTGGAGAGGGATGTGTACAACCTCGACTTCGACGCGCTCACCTACAACGAGCTCTTGGTAATCCTGAAGAAGGTGACCCACACGCAGATGGATACACTCGTTGCGCAGGAACAGCAAACCCAACTTCAGGACCAGCAGGATGGGCAACGCCTGGAGAAGTTTCTGGATTCCGGCATCGAGTACAAAGGCTCGAATGTTTCCTCTCCGCACTTGCAGTCCCCTCGCTCCGAGGATAACGGCTACAGCTGGAATAAGAACAACGACGACGGCTATACCTATCACGCCATGCTGACCCACCTCTTTGAAGCCCTCAACCGCAATAACGAAGGCAGTGCGATGACCGAGCGCAACCCCATTCCCGTTCCCATCCTCGAAAAGATCGGCAAGAAGAAGACCGCCATCTCGAACTTTGGCCGCATCTGTGACGCCTTCCACCGCTCAATGGAGGATGTGAAGGACTTCATCGAGAAGGAGCTCTCCATCCGCGGCAACCTCGACAGCAATAACGCGCTGATTCTGAAATTCGAAATCCGAAAGGCCACCGACTTCGACCGCACCCTGGTGAAGTACTTGGATGAGTACGTCAAGTGCTACTCCTGCCATCGCATCGACACCACCCTCACGAAGGACGGGCGCCGGCTGGAGCTGCGCTGCAATTGGTGCACGGCCACCCGAACGGTGCAGGCCGCGAGCTCGGCGACCTACCGCGCGCAGATCGAAAAGCGCTCCCGTCAACGAGCGGCCATGACCCTCTGAGAAGGTTAAGAACGCAAGGAAAGAAAGAGAAGGGGAAGAAGGGGAGATCTAGAAGAAGTCATTTTCCTTTTTGCTTGGGCATTTGGCGGGTTACCTTCTTTTCCCATCTCCTGCTAAGAAGAGCCTATTGAAAAGGTGAGGCAAGTGGTTTTGTTGAAATCATAATCGATCAAGTGCTGTTAATTTTAAATGTTCTGACATTGTTGTTTGTATACGTTGCATGGTAATCCTAATACCGAACCTGTTGTAAGCACGGATAGGATTAACATTTCGGAGAGGGAGAACTGGTGGCTTATTTTTCGGTGTTGCACTTTTTCTAGTTCCATGTCATCTCGGATAAATTAAGAGAGGCCAGTGGTGATGAGAATAAAAAGTGAAAGATTGAACAAAATAATAATATAATGATTTATCTAAGAGTGAAAGATACGATGGAAGACAAGATAAAATAGACCTCTGTATACAAAACAGGACGTGAAACACTCATCCCAAGGAGGGAGTGTGGGCACGTTACGTGGTAAGTATACCGAGGAAGATATGGGAATTCAGGTAAAAATGGGTTTCATTCATGTAATAGGTCTCTTATTTTTCGCATTCTTTCAATTCTTTTGACATAAGCGGAACAGAGAAAGGGGTAATATGTGAAGGAAAATAAATAACAGGAAAAGTCTTTTATCTTTGAAACGGATTCCGGTTCGGTGTGAGTCTTAATCGTTAAAATGAAAATCACTATTTAAAACTCCTCAAAATAGAATCAAAAGGTATCTTTTCCCTCCTTTTCAAACAAGGACTAATAATAAAAACAATAAATGACTAATTTGTATCCTTTCCCCCATATTTTTGATGAAAACTAGAGTACAAATATCCCTTCTCTAGATTACACAAAGAGGGGAAAACAAAAGTAGAAAAAACGCGTTTGGTTCCCATCATCCGAGGCGCCATTCCTATATATATCGAATTAGAGGGTGGTGCGTATGTTGCGAAAATCAGCTCTAGCGTATCTGTGGCTTGGCGGAACCGCCTCAAACTCCGCCCTCGGGCTCGATGTGCGTCCGGAGGGGGGGAAGTACATCAACGTGATCCCGGAAGGCACGCAGCCCCGTCAACCCTCGCGAAAGCTCGCGGCCCACCGCAGTGCCAATTTCTACGCCTCGGCCAGCGCTAACGAGCATCTAGTGCATCAACCCGAGATCCGCCAATCGATCGCGAAGCTGCCGTTGATGAAACCCAGGATAACTCGGTGGAATTGCCAACTCCGCGCGGATGTCTACGACGAGCTCCTCAAACTTCCCCTGCGCTTTGCGCTGCACGACTTCGATAAGCTGCAGCGGCACCTCCGGC